ATGCATGCTAATCATTTCCCCTCTCTTGCTGATCTGCAGTGGGGAAGGGGGAGGAAAATGAAGGGAAACGTGGCAGGGAGAGACCAGGTGCCCACTTCCATAGAGCTCTCCCCCTCCTCTGGATGGACTGGAGGCAGATGGACACTATCTAAGACTCATGGATGATCAATCCCTCGCCAGGTGCAAACCTACCTCACGGCTGGTTGGTATCTGAGGCCTCTCTTCCCTCCCCACCCCATTCTCAAGTGGAATCCTCTCAGACCCCAACACATCCTGCTCCACCAAGCCTTGTTATTCAACCCCCGGGCAGATCTGGGATTCGTGGACCTGTCTCACTCAGACCCCAAATGCTGCTGCTGCAGCCGCCCGCCCCGCCATAAAACTGGGATAGCGCAGCACGGGGAGCCTGGGAAGGAGACAAGCTTGGGGCCAGAGCTAGGGCGGCGGGACGGGGGGAGAGGGGGGGATGCTTTCCATGGAAAGCACCTGGATGAAGTTGCTCTCGAACATGGGGGCGTACTTGAAGGCATAGTATTCCCCTTTGTACAAGTGCTTCTGCAGCTCCCGCATGGATGTGTTGAACATGCCCACAGCGCACCCACTGGCTGCTGTGTAATAAGGGAGCATAGACTCGCTGCTCACGTTCCTGCCTCCCCTTCCTCTCTTCTGAAGGGCCAGCTGCGCGTAGGCAGCAGAGGGCCAGCAGCTAAGGGCAGAGCAGAGAGGTCAGGGCTTGGCTTAGACCAGCCTCCTAGCTTCCTGCCCCCCTCCCCCGACCTCTGGCGAATCGTGCAGGGAAAAGGAGGGCCCCATGGCCCCTGGGGGGGGGGGGACAGAGGCAGGGCACCCCTGGGGTCAGGGGAGGGCACACCAGGGGCCCAACCACCCCATGGGGGGTCTCACCTCCGCTAAGTCGACGTCACCACCGCGAGACAGGGCTCGAGGAACATCCACGCTCCCCCCACCCCCCGTGTCTCTTCCCTCCTTCCCTCCCTGCTCCTCCACACCTTTGATAGCTCTGGGGGGTGGGGACAGGGACGGGGACAGCTCCTGGCCGCGCGCTCTCTCACTCGCTCGTTCGCTGTGCGTTTCGCGCCGGTGCCAAGGAGGGGAGGAAGGGCCGAAACGCTTTCTTTCCTTTCTCCCTCCAAAGGTCCGGGCTGTGGCGGCGCTGCCAAGGCCGCTGGTTTTATAGCAGCGGCAGGAAGGGGGGGGGGGGCGGCCCTCTGTGACAGTGGTCCCCTTACCTCTGTGACCCCCGCGGGCCCCGCCCACCCGCAGGCGGCCCCGGGGACTCTGGGCCGCCTGCTCACCTCCCTTGGGCGCGCCCGCGCGCGCACGCGCAGGTACACGAAGACAGGTACGCACAGGTGTACCCAGGCAGACAGGGACACGTGGTACACAGAATAAGACGCACAGACACACAGAAGTACATGCGCACACACAATGCACACGGGTACACAGGCGCGCAGACACACAAGAACAGCCCACCGCCCTGGCCTCTTTGAAACTAAAGCTTTATTGAGGTGTTTGGGTCCTTTCAGCTCCTCCTCTTCCTCCTCCGGAGCCTGGTGGGGGGGGCGCGGGGTGGGTGTAAAGCCAGTTTGATCAATACTGATTAATTGGGCCGTGACCGTCCGAGAGTGGGAGGGAAGGAGAAAAGAGTGCCAAGGTCTTAGGGGAGGGGAGCGCTGGCCTCCATGCCGGTGCTGATTTCCGTTCTTTTCACAAAGCAGCCAGGTCCTCACTCACTGCCCCTCCCTCTTCCTCCCCCTTCCTCCCCCTGCCTCCCCCAAGCTCGAAGAGCTTCAGATGAATTTCAGAATTTGAAACTTTTTTTTTTTAAAGAGTTCACTGAATAAATAAAAGAAGAAAGTGGAACGAAAGGTCCCACCCTCCCCAAGAGCTGGAGTTCTTTCTTGAACTATTCCCAGGACCCTCCTCCTCCCACCTGCGATGGATGGTGGCAGGCCCCAGGCCCACCAGACCAAAAAAGGGCTGGCCTCATCACTTTGGGAGCCGGGCTCTTCCTTATTCTTAGGAGGGTGTCACGATCGCTGAAAGATCCACCTGGGGCATCCTTGGCAGATCAAAGCCGAACCCTCTTCTCTTGAGGAAAGCCAGGATCGATCAATTAGAAAGCTTTAAGAAAAAACCCTTTTCTGTAGGCTGGTGGCAGAGAAGCAGAAGAAACATAGGCTTGGGGAGAGGGAGGTCTTGCCAAGAACTCTTTATTGTAACCCTCACCTGGAGCCGGGGAGGCCGATGCCGATCCCCTCCCACTGACTCATTAAATGTGCGCAACACATTCCGAGCACGAATTAAGAAATGCAAACAGAACCAAATATATATATACATATATATATACATATATATGTATATATATATAATTTTTCCGCTTCCTCCCCCATCCAAATGCTTCAAGTTTCAACGGCGAATTTTCCAAGGGAGTGCAGGGCCTGGGGGTGGCTGCTGCCAGCGTCTCCACTCTTCACATGGGGTGAGCGCACTGGGGAAGGGGCAGGACAAGGGTTGGGCGATGGGTTGATTACTGGTTAAGTTTCCTTCTGAGATTTGTAAAACGTTTTTGTGGCGTCTTGTGTGTAAGGGTTTTCTTTCCCCCTCCTTTTTTCCTCTCCCCATCCCCAAGTCTGACAGTAGACAAAAGTAACAGGGTGGCAGCGGCAGCCCCTTGAGCCTAAGCCAGCCCAAAGCCCTCCAAGCACTCCTGGATGGCTAACAGCAGCATATGGCCCAGCTTCTCATAGCTCTCATAGGCCGGCAGGTCCAGCTGATTGAAACTACAAGCATGGGACCACAGGGAGTCAAGTCAGTGACGGCTACCCTTTAATTCTCTATGTATTCCTCCCCCTCTCCCCATCATGCCACCATTCTCACCACGTGTGGGCCGAAGGCAACCGGTCTGTGGACCTGTCATCTCGGTGGATCTGGAACTTCTGAATGCCATTCATGCCCTCAAGTGCTGCAAAACCCTGGAGAGGCACCTTGGAGGTGCCTGTCACAAATTGGAGGAACTTGGCACGGTCAGCTTGGTCAAAAGAACACAGGGCTCTCCCGAACCACTGAATCTAAAGAGAGAAGAGAACCTGGTCTGAGCACCAAAGGGTGGGCTGGTAATCAAGAGGCCTGAATTCTAGGCCCATCTTTGGCCTGCCCCTTAACGCAGCCTGGGGCCAATCCTTTCTCCCCACTTCCCCATCTAACAAGTGAGAGAGACAGCCTTCAAGTCTCGGTTCAAATTCTACCTTCTGCCCCCTCTTCTGTGGAATGATTTCTCTCCTCATCTCCGCCTCCTGGCTGTCAAGTCAAAGTCAGGTCAGTCAATAAGCAATTGTCAAGTGCCTATTATGTGCCAGGGATACACAAAGAGGCAAAAGACAGCCTCTGACCTCAAGGAGCTCACAATCTAACGGGGAGACAACAAGCAAACAGATACAAACGAGCTAAACACAGGCTAAATGGGAAATAATGAGAGGGAAGACTCTAGAATTCAGAGAGGTTGGGAAAGGCCTCCTGGAGGAGATGGGATTTTAGGTGGGACTTGCCAGGAAGCAGAGATGAGGCAGGAGAGTGTTCCAGGCATGAGGGACAGCCAAAAAGAATGCCCAGAGTCCAGAGATGGAGGGTCTTGTTGGTGGAACAGCCAG